TTATAATCTAATCATTCATATTAGCAACTACTCAATTTATATCAAATTCTCCAATAAATTACCTATTCGTATTACACAAAAATAAGTTTAGCCCGTATAGCCGTATAGTTGCCTAATACTGATACTTTTGTTAATAGTTTTTATGAATTCAAAAGAGATGTAAATTCAACTCTTAGTATTGAACTTTGAAGTATAATATAATATATATAGAAATATAATTTCCATAATTATTTAACAATGTCGATTTAGATTATATAAACAAATTAACATCAAAAAAATGAATAAATATACGATACGGCCACACGACGCTAAATACATTTATCTCGGTTTCAGTTAATGGACAAATCGGCATCAATTTACCTCACTTGGTGAATTAATTCGACAGAGATGACCAATATGCCTGTGGAGGATTGGATATATTTTAGCACTTGCAACTTAGCTTTTTTTAAATATGATTCAAACTACTATCTAAATTGCCCAGATATCTCTAAAGACAAATAATGTTCGTCATAAATGGTCAAGTAGTTTTTGATCGTATAGGCTATGAACAACGGACATTGCTTTTTGTTGTACGTTTGAATAACAAACAATAAATTAAATAGTAATTTCTTTTATTTGAAAAAAAATCCCATAACAACGCATTGTAGCTTAATCTATACCAATTTGTTTTTTATGTTATTTCTGTGGCCGATGGTAACCCTAAATAATATAAAAAAATTAATTATTGTCTACAAATCTACTCTCCTAATTTCAAAGAATAAGCAACTGTAAACAATGTGGTGCTTTAGAGCCTACCCAAAGAAGTAAACACAAATGGTTAATACGAAATATTATTATTAAGCTTTATTAGATATTAATTTATGAAAAAGCATGTTACATAATATTACACAAAATATAATTAATAAAAATAAAACAACATTTAATACCAACCAATATTTATAAAAAGTGTATTAAAAAAAATGTATTACTAATTAGTTTTGCGTTAATAACTACTTAAATTTCAATATTAAACCCAAATCATCAGACCCAAATAACTACTCTAAAGGTACGATGGCAATCACACGCAAAAATTGACTCAACATTCAATAAGCGTTATACTTAAATTATTAATTACCGGCAACGGGCTACATTTAAATACTATTGCTAAAACGCTAGCTTTGGTATGTTGGTAGAGTATACGGATTTTAATTTTGGTCTGATTTTATCACGAAAGTTACCAGCATAGTAATATAGTTACTGCTGCTTATTTTAAGCGATGATCTCTGTTTCTAATGATCATACTTTGTTACGGAAAAAAATCCGTACGCTGCAGATATAAAATATGATAATTGATAGAACTAACGTTTGCAGCTACCTAAAGTAGTAACGCCATCGCCAGTAACGCATCTCAGCATCATAATAATTATTACAACACTAGTGATATTTTTTGTCGACTCTGGTACTTTTACTTTTTAAGGACTTGGCAATGAAGCTGAAAACAAAAACTTTTTGAATACAAAAAAAAAGCCCATGTTATATACGCGGGTTTTTATTTAAGTATTAAGTACCTACTGGGATTTGATGTTCAATCGATGTTTCACACTTGAACAACAAGAACACATTTATTGTTTCAATGGATGTTTCAATACTGTTAAATCTTATATTATCATGTCTGACAAACAATTTAAAGGACATGGACACAAATACAAATATTTGAAATGCAGTTAATAGGTACCTTTTGAAGAGAGTTTGCGGTTAAAATAATTGTCCTTTAGGCTTTGAGACGCATAATAGATAGTCGTCGTGGCAGTTCTACAGTGAATCGAAAATTTGAGTTTATCTGAGTGTGTTCCGTATAATTATAATACTTAGGTACCTACATTATAATATAATTAATATAGTTTGTGACGTTAATGCACGTTTTAATATTTTTTTTAGTACATTGCGGGTAGCCTGAATTATGTTCTCACTGCACTATCACATGAATATGCTTATATACTATTATACTATAGGTAGATACTACGAAGTGACTAACCATGCATTTCTCCACCATTTTTTCTTTAATCATACATTTATTTCGATTCTGAATTCTGATTTTTGGAACTCTTAAGTAATAATATTTTAAAGACCATAATAATATTATCAAGTACTTAGATTTTCTATATAACTTGGATCGACCTGTGAAGGCAAACAATTATCATATTCGCAAATACTACAATTTTTAAATCATCAAAGCCTCTTTATATGTTAATTCTATTATCGTGGATTATTGTTTTTAGTACATAAAGATAAATAACTCGAAAGTACTAGAAACAAATTTCGTTTTTAATGCATACCTACTTAAAGATTTTCAATAAAATCATCTGCTCAATAATTTACAATAAAAAATGATTATTCTCATTTGAAAAAAAAATTTGTATCGCTATTCACTATTACAAGTCACTTATCCTAAAAAGCTATAAAAAATTGAATCCTTGAGAATATGTCTTTAAGTATACTTAAAAACTCCTAAAATCAGAATTTGAAGAAATGCGTTATTATAGTATAAAACAAGATAGGGTGAACATGCTCTCGGTGAATCATTCTTTATATACAGGCATGTGCCCACTAGAGAAGTAACAGACACACACCAACACCCCTGATTGCTGTTTCCCCGACCAATTCCCTTTAAGGGGACTATAAAAAAAATATATAACAAACAGTTATTGTAGTTTGGGGGTTAAAAATCATCCCCTCTGGGCTCTGGCCTTTCTGTTCGCCTTTTTAACTGCATATTATACATTATACGTACTTATATATTATTACATTATATTGCATTATATTATAAGGACATACGATATATCTACATCTATATTATTATTATACTGCAGCAGTAGATCTTCGACGTTATCTCAAAACCCCCGTCTCCGATAACTCTAAAACTTCAACAACTTCGACGACTGTGTCTTATATTTACCCACTTTGATGTTAAAAATATCAAAGCATAAATTAAAAATTGTAATGATTTCGGATGAAGCTGATGGACAACGCGTTTAGTGCCGAGATAGTTGTAAAAAAATAAATTACAACGGCAGCTAATTATGAGTTAGGAACTCAAATATAATATAACTGTAACAATTATAACACTGTAAAGTTAAGATCATCAACTGTAAAAAAGAAAAATAGAAATAACCATTTTAACACACTGTTTTTAAATAGAAAAAATGAAATTTCCATCAAATAGGCACTGGCATTTAACAGCACATGCTCTATTGGATAAAATATAAATATAAAACATATTGTTATAATACATCAAAATATTATTATACTAAAGTCTAAAAGTAATAAGGACATAATAATATCGTTACTACATAGCTGGTAGGTATATAATATATATAGCACTATATATACTTACATCACGTCATCACCTATAGGTTTTAATTTTTAAAATAATGTATTTTATGAACTATCAACTTTGACGATGGGTTTTCTAATTCCTATCCAGATTAGAAATAGGTGCCTCGTACATTAGTATTCGAGATGATAATGTTGTTATTATAATAAGCTATTTCTTAACGCCTCCGATGAAATTACGGCCTAACGACTTAGTAGCTAACGACTAACGATGCACAATAATAATATGTTATTGAAAACCGATTAAACTCCAGTGAGTACCCATTTCAAGTACCTATATCAAATTTAACCCTCGGTCAGCTGACGTTCACTTGTAAGTTGTACTTCTGTGGCTGCTGTAGTAGTTTTCAAACGTACTGTGTGTATGTTTATTGTTTATAATATATTAATATTATATTTTAATGTATTATTGTTATTATTATTACATTTTCTGTTGCAATAACTCACTCAAGGCGTACTCAGAGGTGGGGAGGGGTTCAAACCTCTTTCCCGTGAACACTTGACAAATATATATGTACTTACTGCTTACATATAATTTTAATTTTAATTCATAATGTATATTACAATATTGAATAAATTCCTGAGCACGTCTCTGAACTCACAAGTAAGTTTTTTTCAATTTAATGTTCAGGAAAAATAAACAACGAATACCTTAATTAAATACTAAAATACTAATGGTATAATATTATTCGCCGAGTACGTCCTACATACACCGTGGATTGGCTTTAAATTTAAATTAGAATTCTTTTCATACAAACAAAATATACTAAACAACTGAGACTCAATAATAATAATAACAACAGTAGAAACCGTAAAAGTCCCAGGTTCTTGTGCGGTGAAACAATTATAGTTGCATGCAAATAAGAATAACACGCAAAAACAAAGCTTAGTTGCGAATCATTTTTTTTTTTTAAATGTTGTACCAAACTGAGTGGTGATATTATTGTAAACAGGCAAGTGGGTTCGACAGTGTGTACTCTCGGTTGCGCCAGTAATGAGATTCGTATTTTTATTTGGACCAATTCAGTAATACAATACTAGCTTTACTGCAGACTATAATGTATGATTTCGACAGGAGAATATGTATATAAAAAAAGTGGTTGTAATATAATATACTTGACCGCTGTTTTTCACTGGACAGTTGTCAGCGGGCAAACTTTTGTGGCAGATGATCAGATAGAGAAGTTCCAATATTATTGTATCATACGTAGAAAATATTCCCCCATAATTTTACATGAGCAATGGTGTACTGACAAGTTACAGGAAAGAATTGCACTGTTTAGTGTTTATGCAAAGGATATAAATAAAGGTGAGTTGTGTTAAAGAATTCTTGACGTGTATACCAAGAACATAATACTCATAAATAAAAAAATATGGTAATTCAACATAGACAAATACACTCAATTAATAATTGATAGTTGTTGACCAAATTTCAATGAATGCATAACCATTATAATCAAACAATCAATGCATAACCATTATAATTTATAAATAAATCAATCTTTATCAATGTAGTCAAAGTTGATTTCCAGTGAATATAAAATAATAGTTAAGAAAGTTTGGATCATTCTGAGTAAAGGTTAAACAAGAATAGGTAATATTATAGATTTATATAAAAAATTATGAACTTAAGTATCTATTAGCAAGAAATTTAAAATGTTCCACCTCATAACTACGTCACCAGGAACCTGAAAAATGCCAAATCATTTAAAAACATACATACAATTATTTTAGTTGTGGTTGTCATCTTGTAAATCCTGTCAAAAAAAATACAAATTATACTGATTAAAATAGGCATAATATTATCGTCGTGAATTTCTCGAAACCATAATATTTTTTAAATTATTTTTTATTAGCTTCCGTGAAACAGTTACTATTGTTTACCAATTAATATACTCAAACTAGATTTCATATTAAATGTAGCACCTGTTATTCGTCGCAAAAAATCTTTCCACTCTCATAATAATCCAGAGACGTTTTTAGAATTTTAACACCCTACCTCAGTTAAAGTTTATATGCCACCTCTATAACGTCCCTCTGTAAATAAATATCGATAGAAAATATTAGGATACAAAAAGTTTTCAAAAACGTACCCACATAACAATTATTAGTGTTTAAACTTATTTAAATATTGGTTTTGAATTAAATTATTAATATTCAAATGTAAACGTTTAATTTAACTTGGTTTTACATTAATTTATCTATATTTAAAATAGAAACATATTTTAATATTAAATTAACCTTAATTTATGATTTAAACATTAACATTTATTGAACAATATTTATTTAAGACTATTGCATTGTTAAAATATTAATATTAAAATTCAGTTAGTATATTAATATCAATAAAATATCGTTTTGTAAGTATTCCATCAATATTATGCTCCTAGTATTTATAATACATTAATTAATAGTTAAAGAATAGTATTAAAACCTAAATATTTACGAAACATTATATTAATGTTCGAAAATTATATTATAATTTAATGTAAGAATACACATCAAATGTATGTATTATATAACAGCATGCAGCAGTTAGATGGTGGGCCGTGGGTAAATATGCTGAGCAGCTGAGCAGACTGAAAATTTAAACATATTATAAAAATAAAATATTACTGATAAAATAATACAGGACGTGGAGTAACACTGAAAGGTGCGGCGTACAATGCGTGACTATATATATATATAGTGATGATATATGATGCCCGGTGCGACAGCCGACGTCATGCAATCGTCAATAATTATTGAACCCACCATAATAAAGTAAATTTACTTAATCCATATTTAACTCAGTTTCTGCAATACCGTCTATAAACGCGCGGTGACATTACATGTTATAAATTTATAATGTTATGACTGAGACGGCCGGCCGCGATGTCGTTATCTTTATAAAAACTCCAAAAACCCGTCGAATAACCTATTTATAAATTATCTAGCTTGCTACAATATTATGAAAAACGCAATATTTCAATTCAGATACAAAATATAATAATAATATTATTATTATTATTATTATTAAATATTTCTCGTTTTAATTATTTATTACTATATAGCTTTTTTGAATATTTTATGGAAAACTAGATTTTAAAGTCTCCCCAGACAGGCCTCCACTGTATAATATTTTATATTAGATAATTATATCCGTAAGTTGTAACATAAAATATAATATTGATGATGGTCTAAAATTATTCATTATATTTATAAATTATTTAAATTATATTGTTATTTCGCCCCTTCGACATGTAGGTGTTATAATATATAACAGACTAGGTATAGGTATTATATGTATACCTAACATATAGTTGCCCAGACAAGGACAATTAATTATGTTATATGAATGTATTATTTCGAATTGTAGATATTATAGTTATACATTAATACGGCTGTAGTGATTTGCTTGATTCGAAGCATACTTTGATTAAAGCTTATTTTATATGGAGACCTGAAGTTGTTGGGTTTTGGCGAGGGTTTTGGTATAGACTCTCGATGAGTGTATAACTGCATGATGCTCTCATCGTGATTCGAACGGTGTAACATATTTTGAATTTGTTTACGATTATTTATTGCAAACTGCAATGTTTTATTTTTTCCGAAGGGGGATGACACGGATGACGTTGCCGATAGTATTATAATTTACTAAAAAATGTCTACAAAAGGATTTATGATAGATAGATACGTATTTGTTACCTTAAGATAAATCTTTATTATATTGTTGATCTAGTACAAGGTTTATAGATAATTATAGATATTATCTATAAACCTTGGATCTAGTATAATAGTCAGTTATCACATACATAATATAGTGATATCTGAAAAGGTAAATTGATTCAATTTTGTTTATATAGAAATATACACACATACACATACGGTATAACTATTTTAATTAATTAAAAAGAGGTATAAGTATAAAACAAAATACAAAATGCATAAGGTACCTACATAATAAGGTTAATATAATATAATAAAATAATAATTAATTATACGATAGTTACCTAAGAACATAATATTATATAAATACAAGCCTAAATTAAAATACAACATGGCAACCATAGTATGGTACTATGGTACTATGGTACAACTATATTGTATACCGAATAAAAATGATTAGCGGTACTTGTAAAAACAAATGTATACCTACATATTAGTTATACCTTATACCGACTTATATCTATTAAATTACGATTAAATACAAAGTTTATAATATGAGCTAAACAAGCCTTTTACATTTTTTTAAATAACTAAAATAAAATTATACACTAAATATAATACTATAATAGCCAATAGGTACAAATATAATATAATATTTTACATTTTAACTTAGACAACAATCTTACTTACTATAATTTCAATAGAAAAATTACACATGATATTTATTTCACACGCATACTGAGTATGAAATGAAATAAAAAAAATATTATAATAATTATTATTCGTTAAAATTTAAATAGAGAACAGCAGTATTGTAAAAGCTATTCTAATGTGTGTATAACTGGAAATGCTATTTGTTCATTTTCAACTTTAATAATCATATATTTGCATTTAATTTCATTTATACTACAATAATCAAAAGTTGACGAAAGGTTTGAAACTACAAAAATACCAAGTTTAATGCTGTCCATCGGTTTTATAAAAAAAGATCTTTTTAATAGAAAAGTGTAACCCACAATAACTTTTTCTTTTGATTCTGATGAACATATAATATTTATGACTTTAATTATTTCATTACTTTTAGACATTATGTAGCTATCTTTCTCTGAATTACAATTAATTTTAAATTTATTTGTAATTAAAACATGGTACTGCAATGGATTTATTAAATTGTCTAACAAAGGACCTTTTTGATGTTGTTTTTTACATACTATATCTTTGTTGTTATTATTTGAATTTGAATCAGAGGTTTTAAAAGTGTTAAAATTATACTGTTCTTTGTACCTTTTTACTGCTTGTTGCAACGGCTGAGATGCTTTCCTAACAGTTTTTTTTAGTGTTCGCATATGGTTTTCAAATGGAAAGGCACTAGCATTGTCTAAGGGACCAAAATTATGAAAATCATCAACAATATGTTGTAGGGCATGTATATTGTGTGATGCTTGTTCTGTACCATAAATAGAACAAAAGTCTTTAATAAAATATTTTAATAGTTTATCACAGAAACTTATCATATTTTGATTAGAATTTGAAGATAATAATATAGTAAAAGCCACATGTAAACATAAAAAGTTTGAATATAATTTTTCATTAAGGACTTTTTTTAAAATTACCGGTCCGGTGTATAAAACAAATAGTCGAAATTCTGTAGCTTTCCAATTGGAAAACTCGTCTAAGCTTCTAGGTTTTCTGGGAAAATCATAAGTTACGCAGTTTCTTAAACTTAAATGTAAAATATTTAACTTGTTTACTTGTTGTCTACTAAGACGAATATTTTTTGAACCTTTAGACAACCATAAACGAATAAGTTTTTTTATTACACCTAAGCAGCACAAATGCATATAGTCCAAAGAAAATATTTGAATTATATCTAAATTTGGTATGTTTATTAGTTTAGTCATTGTTGTATTTGTTAAATGATGTTGTTCCTGTAATTTGTTTTTAAATGATTCATGAGTTCGTTTTAATGCATTAATTTCTGGAAAACAAAGTCGATTACGCATGTATTGTCCTTTCGTTTCACATCTGGTGCACGAGAAAAACCCAGCATGGCCTTTAATTTTTAGCACAAACGATTTTGCGGGAACATCGCACACTATGGTTTCTAAAATAACTTTTTTTGTGACAATATTTTGGCTATCTATTTTAAATTGTATCCCATTGTTTATTAAATCTACTATTTCTTCACAAAAATCATTTAAAAATTCGTTACTGTCTAATGGCTTTTTATACCCCCAATAAATACCTATCGGAAATACATTTTCCTTGTATGGTCTTATATAGCATAATATTGGCCAAAAACAACTTCCAGAACTTTTAGTGAGTGGTAGACCATCAATTCCTACTACTAGTTTTATGGTATTAGTATTACATCTTTCTGCAGAAGGATAAAATTGTTTTATTCCAGATAAAATACCAAAATGATAATAGTATCCCGGGTCAATTGTTTTTAAAATAATTTTTTTAGATGACACTGATGTCTGTAGTAAAGTCCTAGCATCTTTAGGGAGAACAGTTTTAAAACATTGATGCTTTTTTAATATACCTAATAAACTACTAACTGCTACATTACTTATATTATGTTCAACACTCCAACTTGAAAGTTGATCATTAATTGTTGGTTCCTGCAAGTCTTCATTATCGATTGCGCTTTGATCAGAATTTTCACTGCTGGATAATATGCAGTTATAATCATCATTAAAATCGGATGATAAAAGTTGTTCGTTTTCTATAATAATATTTAAAAATTGTATTCATATTATATAATATGTAGGTAATACATTATCTATATTATTTTTTGGTAAAGATAATGGTCGGTTTTTCTACTTATTATTCCACAGCTAGTATTTATTAATTTAAATTTTATAAATATTTGAATAAGGCGTGTATATAATAATCACAACAAAAACCCTTCGTAAACTTCGTGTAAAAATGTCTAAGTAAAAAAAAATATTAGATCTTTAAGCACTATAAAGATGTGATATCATGAATTAATGCTAAGTATATTGAATTTAAGTAAACGTATTTTGTTTCAATAATTTATTTACTTGGCGAGGAATTATTTCTTAAACGAAACTAAGTGTGATGAACAAAATAATTAAATGGCCAGTGCCGTATTTCCCAGTAAACACTTTAAGCTAGTGCTTTGGGCGCCAAATTATTTTTAATATTACATTTTTATTATATGTTACTAGAACGGAAAGCAATGCAACTAATAATTATAAAATGTTTTTAGATCAACGAGATTGTGGCAATTTTTAATTTCAAATTTGTAGATTTTATCATTTTATAATAGCATTGCTGCGTTAGGTATTTATGATTATTTTAATAATATTATCATTAATATTTATATTATTCTAAATTTTTTTTAAGAAATAATTTCTCGCCAAGTAAATAAATTATTGAAACAAAATACGTTTACTTAAATTCAATATACTTAGCATTAATTCATGATATCACATCTTTATAGTGCTTAAAGATCTAATATTTTTTTTTACTTAGCTCGCGCCACGACCGTGGCGCTGGATATAAAATATAATATACTTACGATGATACTGTTTCTCTTGCTCATTCAAATCAACAACTACAGACTCAGGGCATTGGATAGTAGTAGTAGAAATAGAATTATTCATCAAATCGGTTGAACTAATGCTGCATGATGGTGTTGGTGTATTAATTATTATTTCATCAGATAACTCTAATTCCTGTAATGAATTTGTCTCAACTATTGTACTAATTTCATATAATTCATCGAGCAAACGCCGTTTTTTCGTAGAGTCACTCATTCTATCAAGTACCTACTGTAGTACAAATCTGAGAAATACATTTAAACTTTTAACTGACATTTTTTACCAGATAGGCAGTAATAAATTACGTTTATTAACTTAAAATTTACTTACTAATTATTATTAAATACAGTTGACTAATAAGTCGAGCAAATCACAGTACAAAGAAATCTATATACGATTAAAATAGAACTATTATGAATAATAATAAGACATAAGAGTAATAACGTGTCTTTACAATTCTAATGCATGCAATTATGCAGTTGTTACAGCAGTAAGCCAGTAAAGACCAAAGAATACATGTACAGTTTCTCTGAGACCCTGCAGCGTGAAACAGAGAACATCACGCAGTGTCATGACGCCCCGTATACATTATAAACGCCTATATTTTGTCCGGAATCCGGATTAGTATGTATAGTTGATGTTAGACGAGCAGTCAAAACGCAGCAGAGAAACCGTACAATATTATGTATTGTAATATTTGTGTTCAAAATGAGTACATTACATAAAAATTGTTATGATTGTATAGCAGGTGTTAGTGTTGAGTCTTGAGTGTGATCCAATGTTGGTCGAACGGGGAAGGGGAGATTATGACCTTTTAAAAAAAAAATATGTAGGTATGATCTTATAACCATAAATTAAATTTTCAGCTAATAGCTATAGTTGCCTGGCTTAAAAAATATCAATAAAAAAAAAACATTTAATTTTTAGTGTTCATTAAAAAATCATCCACATCACCCCATAAAAAATAATTTGATTACCATAGTTCATACTCCACAGTGACTATAGTGCGATTAGGTATATAGATAATATTATATTATATAGCCAATATAATAGGTGTATCGTGTATAATATAATACATTACTAATTGATATACTAAAATAGTTTATCAGTGGCACCAAATGTTTACTCTTAAACAAGAGACAAGTGCGAGGGGTTACAATGAAAATTAACAATTTATAAGGTTTGAGGTCATATGTATATAAAACTCGGATTAAGACATATATGACGTGCTAAATAAAACCACTGGTAACATCATGACGAAATACATATATTATATAATATTATATACATATTATAATAAATTAATAATACTCGTACACTTATAATATAATATATAATATATTAATATGTATTTAGTATACATATATATATATATGTAAATATGTATATTATATTATATTAATATATATATTGTAATTTATAATATATTTTGTTATGGGTAATAAAGTAATGCCCAGTGTTGAAGCCTTGAAAAGAATAACAATTGCGGCATTGCGCCGACACTGTCCCCCGTCAGCGGCGGCGGCGCGTCATGTTTACACTATATTATCCGTGGTTATGAATAGTAAGTTGTAGACAAATATGTTTAAAAATAGAACAATAGGAAATCGTTATCATCATAGGAATATACGATTATACGAATTGCCGCCGCCGAGAACATTCGATAATTATCTTATTATTATTAGATTAACCCAAGTAACCAACATAATTTGGATTTCCAGTTGTCAATATTGTTATTTCAATTTCATCCATTAGTCGTTATAGACGTATTTGTTAGCTCTGCGTCTACAGTAAGATTATTTTGATGATTTGTGAACATTTTATAATTTTTTTTTTTTAATTATTATACCCACTTTTATAATGTGGTCGGTAGTGCATTTTAAGGAGGACAATTCCGTGGAAGTGGTACCCAGTAAGTGGGTTACAAAATATAAATGTGCTTGGCCAAACGGAAACACTAAAAAATTTATCGAAAGTCAAAGTGACCCTGATTCACAAATGTTTAATTGGTTTAAAGCACGTGCATTGTTGTCAAACATCGGTAAGTATTCGAATTTGAATTACTTAACTTCTTAACCCTACTGTAATGTGTTTAAATTTGAAATAATATTGTATTACCTAGTTAGATATTAGGTATTATATTTTAGGTATCTATGTTTTAATAAATTATTTATTTAAATTTATAAAAATACAAAATATAATTATTTCAACTATACATTTTGTTTTAAGAATTATATTCTGAAGCACATAAAAAATGCAAAAAAGCTGTTTTTACTTCAGATTTATCATCCTCCGAAAATGACACAAGACTTCAACGAAAATTAAACAGTAATAAACTTAAAAATCATGGTAAATCAGGTATTAATTAATAAATTATCTATATAATATGTAGTCTACTAGTTATATTACCTATATACATTATAC